GGTCTAATATAAGGGGAAGCATGAAGCCCTGGGTTCACATAGCTGGATGTGGCAGCACATGTCTATTATCTGAGCACTCAGAGGACCAGAAGTTCAAGGTCATCCTTGACTACACACTGAGTCTGAGGCCAACCTGGGTTATATGAGATTGGCTTGAAAGAACAGACGCGGGGAAGAAAGAAAGAAAAATAGAAGAGGCACTAATTTGACTGCAAGTCTTTTCAAGTATCTTAACATGTCACCCAGGTTTGCTCACATAGAACTCTCCCTGCCCCATTCAATTGCAGCCTATTAACCTCAAAGGGCCACGTTCTTTCCTCTACATTGTTTTAGGTCTCTGTAGATATCATCCCAACTCAGTTTTCCAGGAGGATGAACCCTAGTAGGAGATGGTTCTGATTGCTCGCTATCGGCAATCTACAAGTAGAGTACCTGGTGAAGGGAGGAGACAGCTGAGGCCAGATATGCAGCTGAGGTGTGGTCCCAAGGGCTAAGCCCTGAAGGCAGAGGGAGCCAGGCTGAGGCTGTAGGCAGTCTGACTGAGGGCAGACAAGGAGTCTCACGTGGCTGCCCCTTCAGAGGACATTGGTGATGCTGGTGAATGTGAAGTTCTTTATCAACAGTGGCGGGCTGCTGAAAAAGCTGTTGGTCCTAGATGCTCAGCTCCAGAGGAGCAGGGAACACAGACAGCAGAGCCTGCTGATGTCAGACTTGTGACATATTCACTGCAAGGATCCAGTGGATCCTAACCAGGTCTAAATGACAGGTTTCCAAACTGTGTTGTGCCTGAGTGGCTGGACCTACCATCAGGAAGCAGTAGGTCAATAAGGTGTGGTGTAGCAGGTGTCTGGAGCTGAGTGATAAAGATGTAGTTAACCAAGTATGCCGTGATTGTTTATTGAATGATATCAGAAACCATTTTGTGTGTGTGTGTGTGTGTGTGTGTGTGTGTGTGTGTGTGTAATTTCCTAATTTATATACATTGTAACTTACTCAAAAGAGCTTTAGTCCATGGGACATTCTGGCTAAACATAAATGAGCATCAGGGTTCCTGTAGGTGTCTACCCCACTGTGGGTGGTGCCATCCTTAAGCTGGTGGTCCTGGGTTCTGTAAGAAAGCAGGCTGAGCAAGCCAGGATAAGCAAGCTAGTAAACAGCATTCCTCCATGGCCTATGCAACAGCTCCTGCCTCCAGGTTCCTGCCTTGAGCTCATGTCCTGATTTCCCTTCATGATGGACTGTGATCAAGACATGTAGCTGAAATAAATCCTTTCCTTCCCAACTTGCTTTGGTGGTGTTCGTCACAGCAGCAGAAGGCAAACGACCATATCTTCAGAAGCTCATGTGTTTGAACAGTTGGTCCTTAGCTAGTCATGGTGATGTTTTGGGAGACTGAAATCTTTGAGACGAAGGCCTAGTTGGTGGACATAGGCCACAGGTGGTAGATAACAGCATGGTCCTGCTTACAGTTTCCTTCCTGTTTCCTGTTTGGCACCATGTGAGAAGGCTAAAGCTCCCTGTACCTTAGATCAGCCTATTGTAGTTACCATACTTTTTCCACAGCGATGGACTGTTCCCTCTAAATTTGTGAACCAGTGTTAAACTCTTCTCAGGTTTCTGTTAGGTGTTTGACATAGTGTTGGGAGGTATTTCGTCATACCTAGTATGAAGAAGAAGGGTGGAACACAGAGTTTAAGTGACATCTCTGACATTACCCAGTTGCTGAGTGGTGGGATACAAATCTAAGTAACCTGGCCTCTATACTGATGGCTAAATGACTATCCTTTTGCTCCAGATCTAACAGTAAAATAGGATTTATAAACCCTTTCCATGTGCCTGGTTTCTATCAAAAAGAAATCTTCTGCCAGAAGCCAGCATGATCAGTTGAACAATAATATCATTTTGTTAAGGATAAGAATCTGCCTCCCACCCTCTCCAGGACTTACTATTTCCCACTTCTTTCATAAGATTCCCTACACTCTGCCCAAAGGTTGGCCATAAGGCCCAGCATCTGCTTTGATACCCTGCAGGGTAGAGCCTTTCAGAGCCCCTGTGGCAGGCTCTTGTCCTGTTCCCTGTTGAGCAACAAAACCAAAAAAATCTGGGCACAGGGGTCTTTTCTAAGACTGATACTCCAACCAAGGACCATTCATGGAGATAATCTTGAACTCTTGCACAGACGTAGCCCATAACAGTTCAGTGTTCAAGTGGGTTCCATAGTAATGGGAACAGGGACTGTCTCTGACATGAATTGATTGGCCTGCTCTTTGATCACCTCCCCCTGAGGCGGGAGCAGCCTTACCAGGCTACAGAGGAAGCCACCCCTGATGAGACCTGATATACTAGGATCAGAAGGAAGGAGAGGAAGACCTCCCCTATCAACGGATTTGGGGAGGGGCATGAGTGGAGAAGGGGGAGAGAGGGGATTATGGGGGGGAATACAAAGTGAATAAACTGTAATTAATAAAAAAATTAATACAAAAATTTACTGCTGAATTAGAATTTCCGTGAGCTTAGAAGTTGCAATAAAGATCCAAAAAAAAAAAAAAAAAAAAAAAAGAATCTGCCTCCCTTGCAGGGACTCAGGATCTGAGTCTTGGTAGTTTGTTAGTAGTGCTGCTGCAGAGCTGGTTCTGCTTCCCGGAGGGCAGGTGGCATAGACCCACATTGGCGTTTGCCTTCTGACCCAATGGAGGTTATTGTGGGGCTCTGCATACGTCCCAGCATGTGACAGCCAATTGAGCTGTGACCCAAGTTCATTGCTTTCGTCTTCTCCCACAACCTTTCGTGAGTGGAAAAAAGGTGGAGTAAGGAATTTCTGGCTCCAGAAAGTTATTCTGAAAGTAAACTGAGCTGGGTTTTCTTTAAATCTTTGCCTGTTAACTGTTAACCCAGCTACTCTATAAGCATGTCAGGTGTTTGACAGCTCACTGGAGTCTGACTTCGGCTTGACAAAGTTTAATATACAAGGAAGTAATTGTGTCCATTGACTTTCTCATACCCCAGCTTCAATTATGCAGTGAGCTAATCAATTCCCTTCATCTTCGTAAATAACATGTCTTTCCTAGTTATTGAGAACTGGCTGCAATTCAGTCAAATGCAAAAATATTTACGAAAGACTTATTATGCACTTGGCACCATGAATATGGAGATTAGCTCACTCAATCATCCCTTCAGTTAATGAGTAGTTATGGAGTGCCACAGTGTGCTAAGCAAGGTCGAGGTACTAAGGGAGCAACAACAAATAGAATAATCATGACCTTTGACCCCAGGTAACTCAAGTCCTGTAGAGCTATTCAGAATGATGCATTTAGAAGTTACCACTCTACAAGACTGCATGCTTAGTTGGAAGTTAGGCCCAGTCCCCTCTTGGGACACAGAAGGGCACAGCAGTGTGACAGAGGATGCTGAGACAAGAGCAACAGATGGGCAAGAAACAGTTATACCAGGAAGGGACGGACCCCTGTCTGAGGCTTGAGGACAGGTATGGGATGACAGGACAAGAGCAGAGCTGGGACCATGCAGTTCAGGGAGGAGTTTGTTTTCCATGGGTAAGACAGAGGGGTCAGGGCGGGGGGGGGTAAGTGAGGACCAGAATGATTACCACCCTTATTACATGTGCCCCAAGGGAGGATCAGAGAGGGAGGTTGAGAGGCCACTGTAGAGGTCAGGTGACAGAGAAGGTGGAAACCAAAGAGATCTCAGGATAGACCGATGAAAGAGAACAGAGAGAGGAAATATAGATCCATCCTGATAAAGGACTAAATGTGGGGTTGGGAGGGAAAAGAGACGTGGATGAACCCTTGTCTTCGAGCTTCTGTAGTTGGAAAGGGCCCTCCCTGGCCTGGGGTCTGTCGGCTCTACTGAAGTCTGTGGTCAAGCGAAAGTAGACGTTATTCTGCTTGGGGTCTGTTGGATCCATGAAGTTCCTCCAACAATACTCTGGGGAAGACGTCAATCAGTTCAAACTACCCAAAAGTCAGGGATACCTTTGTCAGGCTCTGGCGTGCCTCTGAAGCCTCTAAAGGCCAGGAGAGCAGTTGTGCGACAGAGAGCTGACAGAGTCCACTGTCCCTTCCCACTGTACTGGCAGGGAAAGTCTGAGTGTGGGGAAGTTGTTGAAGGAGGTAGTTAGGAGAAGGTTCCTCTGTAGAGGCCAAGTAGGTACTTTTGAAAGGAGAGGAGGAACCTGAGTGTGTAACTCGGTAGAGTGCTTGCCTTGTGTGCATGAAGTCCAGGTTTAATCCTCAGCACCACAGAGACTTGGCACTGCAGCTTGTCTGTAATCCCAATATTCCAAAGGTAGAGGGAGGGGAAGAGAAGCCAAAGGTCAGTCAGGGATACATGAGACCTTGAGTTATAAACAGAAACAAAGGGAGAGAGGGATCAGGGGCACTGAAAGATGCTCATAGCAATCAGCAGCATGGCCCTACATTGCTAACCTGCTTTGGTGCACAGCTTGGCATGGAGACCGGTCAGTGAGGTCTGGAGGGTAAAGACTCACAGGCTGTTAATGGGGGCAAGGAATGGTATGTTTCAGAGTGATAGCTGGAGGGTGCTGTGGGCCCATGTGCTCCTCTCGCCGTAGCCTCATTGCCAGGGCTAGGTGGACTGTGTGGAAGGATCAGGCTGTGAGATCACAACAGCAGACACAGGTAAGATGTGGTCTGACTGGGTGCACCAGAGGGGTCCACATGGTAGGCAGGTCTACCTGGAGAGTGGGAAAGTACATATGAAAAGATGAAAGCCAAGTAGCTGAGCTTTCCTGTTGTCACCTCCTTTGGCCCCTACAAGATATCCCATCCTATGCTCTGGTGGTGAAGTTTTGACTGTGTCTGGGCATCACAAATTGTCCTTCATTGGTCAGTGTCCCAGTGACCAGGTGCTAATATGGGGTGGGTAACACTGGTGGGCAGAAGCTGCAGAGAAAATGGGTAGCACACACTGTCCAAGCCTGACCTGATTGCCACTTTCTTATTGTTTTTTTTTTTTACAGTCAACTTTGACCACTTCCAGATCCTGCGGGCCATTGGTAAAGGGAGTTTTGGAAAGGTAAGAACAATGTGATTTTTAAGACAATGACAAAAAAATGAAATGTGAAATTCTGGATGTTCTGGCTTGAGCGTATGTATGTCCTGTGGGTTTGCTCTGGGACTGGGTGCTGGGCGTTTTTTGCTGACAGAAGATTTCAATTTGGTAAATCTGAGGCATGAAAGGAAGCCTTAATGATGTCCTTGAACTGTGGTGTGTTTTGCTCTGAAAATGGAATTAACCACAGAATCTGGGCTTAGGTGACTTATGGTGGCGATTGCTTTAGTGTCGTTAATACCAGGTCTTTTAAAGAACCTAAACGAGAAGAGTGGATTCCCCGCCTCCAAACTTTACATGAGCTGGCTCTTTCTGGCTCTTGAATATTTGGTTTTTTAGAAAATTCACATTGGCAATTCTTGACTGTTTGGGGATAAAGGCTATAAAAATTAGGAGAAGGTAAGGCTTTGAGGGTAAAAAATTGCTTTCAGCAAGCCCTAATCTGTTCCCAGAGAAACATTCTCCTGGAATTAATTGTTTGAAGTATTTTTGAAAAGCCATGCACTCTGTTTGTATTCAAGTGCTATGAGTTACTTTTTATGGAAGAAGTGACTCAGACTAAAAACTAGACTCAGTAACTAGTAACTGTGTGTTACTTTTCTTACAACTGAGACAGAATGCCTGATATTAAAAAAAAAAAATCTTAAATAAAAAAAGGTTTGTTTTGGCTCATTGTTTCTGGAGGTTCAGCTCATGGTTGAGTAGTCCTGTACATCACTGTGGCAGGAGCAAGGGGTGAGGGCTTTTTTCATTTCTGAACAAATGTGAGGTGGGGATAGACCATAGGAAGGGGTATGACCGCTTTTAGCAGCACCTTTCCCAGCTTAGCTGGGAAAATAAGCATGCTTTGTTTTCAGCTTTCAGCTTGTGACTGAGAAGTAGGCTCCATTTATCTATCTATGTATCTACTTATTTTTAGAGAAGGCCAGGAATATAGTTGGGGGCCACAGTGTCATTGGGTATGCCAGGTACTGACAGACATTTCGCTGTTGAAACATGGTCTTGATGGAGCAGGAACTTTCCATGTAACGGCACAGGTGGACAAATGCATGGAACAGCATGCTCAGTGGATACCCCATTCCTCAGATAGAGGACCTCCTCCATGGGAACACTTTTCTGGAGATTTCTGTGTCTCTTTGACTTGTGAATCTTCAATGGAACTTTCCATAGAACCCTTCTGAAATGCAGAAACACCGGGGATCAATTCACTTAGCAGAATTTTGATCTGATACTGAGTCCTGCCAGTCTTGAGATAGCTGCAGACATCCTGGGGCAGCAAAGACATCCTGCCTTTCCACAACCCCATTTACAAGCTCCTCAGTACACATGTATGAAAGTGCTAAATGTTTGTATGGTCTAGTGAATTGTACCACTTGCTAACCGAACAGACCTTGGCCTCTTTGAGTCAGATGAGCTTCCAGTGTACTGACAGATTATCCAGTCCATCCTATCCAGTGATAGAAGGGACTCATCAACAAACAAGAGGCCCCATAAAGACACCACTGCCAGGAGGCAGATGGCTCAACAGCATTTCTGATCATCCTACACAGTGCCTGGAGCAAACACTGCCCCTGAAACATTACTCCTTAAATAGATACTTGTGAAAGTTGCTTTGTAGCTTCCGGGAGATTTTTTTTTTTTTTAAATCAGAAAATCTTCCATCTGATCTGAGCTGATTAGTGTTTGTCAACTTGACACAAACTGGAGTCATCTGGGAAGAAGGAACCTTGACTGAGGAATTGCCCTCATCAGATTGGCCGGTGAACATTATCTTGATTGATGTGATCAGTGCAAGCCCTGATCAGGTGGTCTTGGGCTCTATATGAGAGCAAGCCAGTAAGCAGAATTCCTTCATCGTCTCTGCTTCAGTTCCTGCCTCCAGGTTCCTGCTCTAGTTCCTTCCCTGACTGCTCTGGATGATGGAATAAGCCTTTTCCTTCCCAAGTAGGTTTTGGTCAGCGTTTTATCACAATATAAAAAAAAGCCATTTCTATTTCAAACCACCATAGAACTGTTTGACTTATGTCTAGTGTGTTTTTATTATTTTATTTATTATCCTTTTTTTTCTGGCTGTTCTGTAACTTATATGTTTCAGACTAAATATTCATGATTTCTTTTTCATTTCTCTACTGATGTTACAGCTACAGTTTTCTGTGCTATGTTATTAAATTGTTGCTCTAGTGACTCACATCTTTATTTCATAATATTTAGCCATGATAAAGGGACACAACAATTGCACAGTCTCTACCCTGTCAGCCTCTCTACTGCAGTCATCAAATTTATCATGGTTTCTTAAAATTTAAATGTCTAAAGATGATATTAAAAGTTATTTTTTAATTTAAAATATGTACTACACTTGTCTCTCACCCTTTGGAAAGTTTAGTTTTAAATATTTCATTGACTTTGGGAAGGTTGTGAAAGATTATAAGGTGGAGGTTTTTGCTTTAAAATAATTTCTTTTGTGACTTATATTTCCTCTGTTTTCATTTATTTGGACCATGTTGGCCTTTATATCATGCAGCGATGTTACAACAGCTGCTTTCATTAGCTCATGGTTTCGTCTTATCTCTTTTATTTTTACATTTCTCCTTTCTTGTTCTTTTTGATCAATTTCATAGTTTTAGATCTTTAGTTTTTCTAGTTATGTTATGATTGTATTTCTTTATGTTTTTAAATTGCCACTCTAGGGATCAGAATACAAGTCTTGAATGTCCCCATGGTCAGCTAAGCATTGCTATTTACATATGATCCAGAAATGCTGGGACTTGTATCTTTCCTGTTACTTACTGCTGTGCTGAGCATAGCTATGCCTCCTGTTTCTCTACCCATCAAGTATGTCCAGGCTATGTCTTGGGCATGGTGAATGCTATGTCATAGAAAGTTCACATTAATTCAAAAAAAATTTTTTTAAATAAGTCTATGCTTTAGGCTCCCCATTTACTGTTTTGTTTGTTTGTTTTTCTTTTGAGGCAAAGTCTCCAGTAATGAAAGTTACCTTGCTCTGTAGTTGGATGGCGGGGAACCTCTGCCCTCTACCTCTCCAGTGCTGAGATGCCAGGTGTGTCCCACCAGGTCCAACTTTAGAAACATATTTTTAGTAATTAGTTAAGTCAGTGAGTCCTGTACACTCAGCCTCTTGTGTGGGCATGATGTTCCCGTCCTCTTCTCAGCTGGACTTCTTGCTGTCTACTCACTACATGTCTCCTTAGGGATCTGCAGACATGGGACAGAGCTTGTGACATACCACAGGCTCCTCATCTCTGGATTTCTCAGAACAGTTAATGTCCTGGAAATTTAGGAGGCCTGCCCTTGACCTCATTGACGGTAGCTGAACTTAACAGTAAGAATATAGCCCAGCATGTAAGAGCCCTGTTGTTGTTTCCTACTCTAATAGGCCAATTCTATGCCTTAAAGAACCTTGAGGCACCTCTTCCAATTGTCACCACAGCTGGGGTTGTCATGGCTTTCTTCTGTGCCCTCCTGTCTCTGACAGTTTGGGTCCTGAACCCTCTGTATCTCTCTGTGACATTCTGTTAGACATGTGGCTTTGCAATCTTTCAAATTGGCTTTATCCTGTCATCATCCCTTGACAATGTTGCCTGCCTTTCTGTTTCATCCTGTCCTGCTATCTGGCACATGATCTGGCTCTTGGCACCTGCTGTCTAGAGTATTGATGTCTTAGAAATTTATGGTTATAGTTGATCTTTTAGAAGTCCCAAGCTTCCTGGCATCTGTTTGTAAGTCGGCATGTGACAATGTCTTGAGGATCCTCAGGTTCTTGGGAAATGTACATTAATGTTAGGTGCTTGGGATTCAGTTGGCTTACTTTCAGGGACCAGAAGATAGCTTTGTTCTGATTGAAATACCAAATAATAATGGCTGCCTTTGTGATCAATGCAGATTAACTCCCGAGGCTGTTCTTAGCTGTAGTGGAGCAAGGCTGCCACAGGGTGAGAGCCCTTTTTAATAGGGAGTGAATGTTTGGGGCTTTGCTCTCTGCCTTGGGCAGGCTGCCTGTCAACATTTATTAAGAGTTCATTGTGAAGGATGACAATAGCCTGGCTACCGGCAGGTGCACACGGGGCTTTTCAGCAATCACAATCACATGCATTCTGGGAGCGGTCCCACCCCTCATGCACCACCAAAGTAAACAGCTTCAGATGACTGGATTCGAAAGAGTTACCCTTAAAAAAATAACCCATTTGGGTCTGAGCTCTGCAGCAGTTGAAGTACACCAGCTAGGGTTCTGGACACTTGGTGAAAATACTTTAGATTGTGGGTGATTCTGCTGTGTATCAGCTGTGAGCAGCTGAGCCAGTGAGTGAACTTACAGTCTCAACTTGGGTGTGGGTTTTTAATATAAATTGGGAATAGAAGGTCACAGAGGGTCCTGGACTCCCACTGCCGCTCAGCCCACTCCTTCTTACGGGAACAACATCCCTTCCTTCAGAGGACATGTCAGGCACTCATTGGAGTCCAAGGTAGCTGTCAATCACCATCTTTGTCATGTACCTCAGAAATGGGCATGTGATGTAACATGGTTGGACCTGGCAAAGAGTGGAAGGCTCAAGGGACTGAATGACTCAAGCCATACCATCCACTTTCAGTGAACGGAATCTTCCCCTTAATATCAGAAAACAGGCTGACTCTTCGTGTGGCCTACAGTGGATGATGTTGAAGGCGTGTCTAACAGGAGGAAAGAATGACGCTCTAAGCAAAGAAAGAGACAGGTGCGAACAGTGCCTGGAGGAGCTGTGAGTCAGCTGAGCAAGCCAAGCCCTTGTTTCAGCAGCACCTCATTGGCTTACTCCAGTCTGGGACCTGCTGATGACTGCAGTCCCTATGGGCCCCCTTTGACCTCTGATGGCAGAGCAGCAGAATTGAGTCCAGAGAGGTAGACCTTTGGCACGGACTTGAACAGCAATAGGGCTGAGTTCTTTTCAGGAGAGTGTAGAGAGTGCCTG